AGTAGGTACTCTCCAAATAAATTATTTTTTGTTGTGGTAAAATATGCATAACATAAAATTTACCATTTTTACGTGTACAATTCATTCGCATTAAGTACATTCACAATGTTGTGTAACTGTCACCACTATCTATTTCTAGAACTTTTTATCATCCCAAATAGAAACTCTATACCAATTAAACAATAACTTTCAATTCATCCCTTCCCCCAGACTCTGCTAACCTCTGTATAATTTTCTATCCCTGTTAATTTGCTTATTCTAGGTACCTCATATAAGTAGAATCATATACTTTTTATCCTTTTGTCTCTAGCTAATATTACTTAGCATATAGTTTTCAGTATTTAGCCCATGTTATAGCATATATCAGAATTTCATTAACTTTTATGGCTGAATAATACTTGGTTGTATGTATATGCCCCTTTTTGTTTATCCATTCACACACTGATAAATTTTGGCTATTATAAGTAATTCTACTATAAATTATTATACAATAATTGTACAAGTATCTGTTTGAGTCCCTGGGTATTCCTGAATCATATTGTAATTCTGTGTTTAACCTGTTGAGGAGTCCATAATAGCTGCACCATTTTACATTTCCACCAGCAATTCACAGGTTCCAATTCCTTCATACTAGTATTCGTGTCAATACTTATTTTGTACTTCATAGTAGCCATCCTAAAGGGTAACTCATTGTAGTTTCGATATTGAGCATCTTTTCATGTACTTATTTGCCATTTGTGTATCTTGTAGAAATGCCTATTTAAGCTTCTTACTATGTTTTAACTGGGTTGTCTTTTTTCTAATTGAGTTGTAGGAGTTCTTTATGTATTCTGGATATAAATTCATTCTCAGATATATGATTTGCAAATATTTTCTCTCATTCTGTGGGTTGTCTTCTCACTGTCTTCATAGTATCTTTTGATGCACAAAGGTTTTAATTTTGATAAAATCTAATTTATCTTTTTGTTGCCTGTGTTTTTGGTGTTATAGTCAATAAATTATTGCCAAGTCCAATGTTTTGAATTTTCCCTCATGTTTTCTTCTAATAGTTTTACAGTTTTAGTTCTTACATTTATATCTCTGAGCCATTTTGAGTTACTTTTTATATATGGTGTAAAGTAAAGGTCCAGCTTCAATCTTTTGCATGTGGATATCCAGTTTTTCCAGCACTATTTGCTGAAAAGACTGTCTTTTTCCCATGGGATGGTCTTGACATCCTTGTCAAAAATCAGTTGACTTTATATGGAAGGGTTTATTTCTGGGCTCTCCATTCCGTTGGTCTATATGTCTGTCATTATATCAGTATCACACTGTTTGGATTGCTGTAGCATTGTAGTAAGTTTTGAAATCAGGAAGTGTGAGACCTCCAGCTTTGTTTTCTTTTCCAGGATTGCTTTGCTGTTTAGGGCCCCTTGAGATTTCATATGAATCTTAGGTTATGTTTTTCTACTTATGAAAAAAAAATGCTGTTGAAATTTAATAGGGATTTCATTGAATCTGTAGATCGCTTTGGGTGGGTAGTATTGTCATTTTAATATTGTCTTCCAATCTGTGTCCATGGACGCTTTTCTGTTTATTTATGTCTTTAAGTTCTTTCAGCAGTGTTTTATATTTTCAGTGTATTAGCCTTTCATCTCTTTGGTTAAATTTATTCCTATGTATGTTTTAGTAGATTATTTTAGTGGATGTACATGTTGTACACAGTATGATGAAACAGCAAACTTAACAGCTTGTGTTTTTACAGAGTGAAATTTTCTGTTATGTATTTTTTGTTATGTATGTTTGTTATGTGATAATGTATCCTAAGACATTTTTATTCTCCTAATTTATTGATTTTTATATATTAGTCTTTGGGTGATTTTCCTATTTTTTAACTTAAAGAAGAGCCTCTCTTTTTATTCTTTGAACAGTTCTGGAAGTGATTGTGATCCTGTTTATTTACATTTTAGGATGCATTCTTTTTTGTTTTTTGTTTATTCTTTGGTTAAACATTTTTATTTTTACTGAATATATTTATACATAAAATGTTCTTAATTTTTTCCTGGCCGGTATTCCCTGTGGATAGAGCTTCAGCCCACATACCAAGGGGTCTCGGGTTTGAACCCTGGCCCAGGTCAGGGCACGTGCAAGAGGCAAACAATTGATCTGTTTCTCTTTCATTGTTATTTCTCTCTCTGTCTTTCCCCCTCTCTCACTCGCTTCCACTCTGTCTAAACAATACCCCTGGGTGAGGATTAACAACAACAAAAAGTTCTTATTTTTGAAAAATGACATTTAAACCAGCTTCTTGTAGTG